AAAAAAAAAATGTAAGTCTTATGAAATGTGTAGTTAAAGTTAGTTGTTGAATTTTTATATATATATTTAGCTAAATCACAAAGAAATAAATTCCTGACGAAATAGGGATTTATCAATTATATTTTATAAATTAAGCTATTGAATGAATTGACAAATTTGACCATGCTGTTAAGCCAATTACCCCTAAAATAGAATGGGAATGTAAAAGAGGGCAAGAGACCTACCAAGCTAATAAAACCTTCCCTTGCGGCTGCCTGTCTCTCTCGAGATAAATAAGAGAAACTGATAAAAGTGGGTTTTGTTTTGATTATGAAATTCAATTCAATTCAATTCAATTCAACAAATGTTTTGTTTTGTATTTCTATCTGCTTTCGTTTGAACCACTTTTAGAGCTCATCATTTCCATCATCACAAAACTCCAAACTCCAATACAGATATATAAACACGCTAACGCGAAAAGCAGTAGCAGCAGAACAGAGCAGAGCACAGATTGCAATACAATGGTTTTAGGATGGCGAAGAGCGTTTTGTACATCAATTCCAAAAGATCAAGAACGAGATTCACCAATCCTCAAAGACAAATCAAATCCCGCTGGATTTATCTCTAACCCTTCAACGCCGCGACTCCTGTCTCAGCCAGTTTCTAGCCCCAGTCTCCGCTGTAGTACCACCGCCTCTGCTCCACAAACACCAAAACTTCATTGTAAAACCAAAAACAGCCCCAGATTTTTCAATCGCTCCACCCCATCTTCCCCTCGATCCCCATCCACCCTTTCTCTACTCAAATCTACCCTCCGTATCTCAAAGGTATTATTTTTATTTAATCATCATTTTAATTTCAAACAGTAGAATTCAGTTATTAGATTTTGACTTCATTTACTAATAATGGTTTTTTTCCTTCTTCTTTCTTCTTCTTCTGCAGAATAGGTGTGGAATATGCTTGCAGAACGTCAAGACGGGACAAGGCACGGCCATTTTCACGGCGGAGTGCTCCCACACCTTCCACTTTCAGTGCATCGCGGTGCATGTGAAGAAGCAAGGCTCCCTTACGTGCCCTATCTGCAACTCCACTTGGAAGGAGCTGCATCTTTTATCCACTTTGCAAAATGATAACCACCAAGAGCACAAGAGAGTAATCGCTGGAGACGCGAACTCCAAGAACGACAAAAGAGGCGTATTGAAAGTGTACAATGATGATGAGCCTCTATCATCGCCCACTTCCGGAGCAAGATTCAATCCAATACCCGAATCTGATGAAACGGAGGAGGAGAATGATGAATTTCCGGGATTTTTTGTAAATGGATATGCTAACAATACAACCAGTCCAGAACTCCAGCTGAAGAATGTTGAGGTGACGTTGTTGCCGGAGGCCGCAGTGGTGTCGGTAGGGAGAAGCAGCGAGACCTACGCTGTGGTTTTGAAGATCAAAGCTCCGCCAGCCCCTGCAAAGAATGTGAAGAGAGCTCCAATTGATTTGGTAACGGTCCTGAATGTTAGCAGAAGTGTGACAACAGAAAAGCTGCTCATGATGAAAAGAACTATGAGATTGGTGGTCTCATCTCTCTCTGCGGCGGACCGGTTGTCGATTGTGGCATTTTCTACCACTTCGAAGCGGTTGCTGCCGCTGCGTAGAATGACCACCGCCGGCAGAAGGTCGACCCGAAGGATTGTTGATGCCATTGTTGCGCTAGATGGAGCAGCTGCGAGTCCGACGGATGCGTTGAAAAAAGCGGCCAAAGTGATCGAAGATCGCCTTGAGAAAAACCCATCAGCCAGCATCATGCTTTTCTCCGACGGCCATAGCAATGGTCCATCAGTCTCATCAACGCGCTTCTCGCACACTGAAATTCCGGTGCATTCAGTCAACCTGAATGCATGTTTAAACGCGCCAACAGATGAAACCATTGCTAAATGCATTGGGAGTTTACTAAGCATGGTCATTCAAGATCTTAAAATCGAGCTGGGATTCATTTCCGGTTCTGCTCCGGCGGAGATATCGGCGATATACTCGAACACGATTCGACCCGCTTTTCTTGGATCCGGGTCAAGCGCATCCCGGATCGGCGATTTGTTTTCTAAAGAAGAAAGAGAATTATTGATAGAATTAAAAGTTCCATCATCATATAGTAGGGCCCACCGAATGCTGTCCGTTCGATGCTCTTACAGAGACCCATCAACTCAAGAGCCCATATACGGCAAAGAACAAGCCCTCATGATTCCCCGTCCACGCGCCGTCGGATCCTCCACTCGCGAAATCCAAAGGTTGAGAAGCCTTTTT